ATTTGGTTTCATTTCTCACTGCCAGTCTGCATGACTGTCTTTCTGTTTTCCTTCAGTTGTTTTATTACTTTAGAAGGTACAGTTATTCTTTTATTTAAAATTTTCTCTTCAACCACGGAACTATTACTAATGATGATATCTAGCATTGCCACTGCACTGGGGACTTGAAATCTTTTATCCCATGCAGTTCTCACTATAAACCTATGAGGTTGGTAGCAGTAGCATCCCCGTTTGTTTTTTCTTTATTTTTTTATCAGCATATTCATTGCTACAAATCGTACTTATTCTTTATGCCCCTCATCCAGTCACTCCTCCTCTCTTTCCCGTCCCCCTCCCCGCTCTAATAACCATGCATTTGTTCTCTCCATCTGATAGATTAACTGTTCCTATGTTGGTTTGTTGTCTAGATGATCAGTCCAGTACTGAGACAGGTGTGCTCAAGTCCCCCCCATTATCGTAAATCAGATGCTGCTTCTATTATTCTGGAGTGTGCTTTGTGGAGAGAGAGGACCTCTCCTTTTTTGTTGTTTTTTTGGTCTTCACTGGTGCCTCTCTTTGTGTCAATGCGGTTGAGAGTCTGCATGGTGGCTGTGAGTGCTGCTCTAGAGACTGCCTCTGTGGCAGCCATGGCAATTGTGGTGGCTACGGTGGGCTACCTGTGCAGAAATGGTGTTTGTCGTGTGCTCTTTACCTGGGTGTAGCTGGGTTTGGCTTCCCCTGGCTCTAAGCCTCAGGACCCTGGCGGGGCCCTCGGGGTGGTGATGAGCATCCCCATTTCCAAAGGTGAGAAATTTGATGATCAGAGATGAGGTAATTTGCCCGAGTCTACATAGCTGGTAAGGTTAGGATCAGAACTTAAGTATAGCTTGTTTCACATGGAAACGATGTTTTAGTCACCATGTCACTTGTATTTACATAGTAAAACCGAAGACTTTCTGATTGTCTTTAAGAATGACTAGTCAGTGACTATTTTGGAATCCTTTCCTGCATCTCGGGCTGGTTTCACACATCTCTACTGCATGGTTTTCTCTTTCCCAGTCTGTTCAGGTCTCTGGGTCTTAGGCCCTTGTTAGTAACCATCTTGCTCAGAGCCTGTTTTCCTGCCAGTCTTTCTCGTTGCCCTCTCTTTATGAACTTGTATGCTGGGCGGTGCGTGTCCACTCGGACAATGAGACCCAGGCTTTGCTTAGCAGCCGGCCGAGGGGGTGCCAGTCACTCTGAAAAGCAAGGACTGCCCTGATTCAGCCTTTCCTGAAGTTAGGGGGAGGCTGGAATCAGAACTGACTGCTCTACTTCCACCTCTTAGCATGCTATTTTAGATGTCTCTATAGATTTTGTTCTTATTTTAATGACTCCAAGTTGCTGCTTTTCAAAGGAAAATCTAGCAGACAGACAATAAAGACATTCTCCAACCCTCCAGGATCCCTTCCAAGTTCCACCCCTGCCCCCCTACCCCCACAGCCTTGTTTTGCAATAAGAAATATATTTGTTTCTTAGGGAAATACCCACAAGGATTACTGGTATAAATGTCAAAAGGTTGGGAAACTCACAACCTTGCTAACCAGCAAGTTAGAACTAAAAGGCATAACCTTGGTTTCTCCAGCTGAGCATTCTGGGTAATGAATTTTTCATCAGGAGGTGTTGGTTAAGAATTCTATGATCTTGGGCCGGCCCCGTGGCTCACTCGGGAGAGTGCGGTGCTGATAACACCAA